GGGCAAGTTTGTGTCTGTGTGCTGTGGCTTAGACGCCTGCTGTTTCCTTCAGAACTCCTTCATGTTCTTGGGAGTAACACAAGCCGCCTGCTCGCTGAGCAAAGGCCCCTAAGTCCTCCCTTCATTTCAACACTTTGGAAGTTCTCCAAGACCCAATTTCTGATCTGCTCCCTGTGCAAGCTCTATGTGGAGCAGACCCGTCCTTTGTGGTTCCTGGGTGTCTCAATAATCGCTCCTACCTTCCCTGGTTCCTATCTGTTATGCTGTCGGAACTGAATAATCAAAACTAGATGTCGTCTTTGGATCCATTTATCAGTGACACATTTTCTCCACAACAAATAGAGGTTAAAGACCAAGGTTTAACCCTGAAAAGCTTCTTTTTCAATGGGACAATAAAGAGGTGAAAGAGGCTACATCAATCTGTTGCTACTTTAGGTTAACATTTTCAATCCAGCACAAAAGTACTCAGGAAGACAGGCTCATAGCAGGATTACTTCCCACAGGGATTTACAGGCAATCTTACTAGCAAAATGATCTCCTGAAGGTGAGCCACTTTCCCTGACGCTACAGAGAGGGGAGCACACGCTCAAGGCCCAGCATCAGGATTGAGGCATTGTGATTTTTCCTAAGGAGTTTCAAAGACTTAAGATTTTGATCTAAATGCCTCAAGCCCAGAAGAGCAATTTTACTGTACTGTTGAGATGATCTCTGAAAGGTATGCCCCACAGATAATGTCCACAGATGGTAAGCAATTTAGTAGCTGATTGTTCCAGAACCAGAATTTACGTTCCCTGACTCAGTGACTAACAGACTTCACCTGTGGCCTTGTTGCAGTGGGGTGGAAGGATGGGTAGCACATCAGAATGGTGATGAACCTGGAAAATGACAATGCTGCTGTCTTTGTCTACTTGAAAGCCTACCTCCAGGGTTTTAAATGCCTTTTTTGGTGTTCTAGTGGCCCCTGTTTGGGGTTAAGAACAGGGAATGTAAACCAAAAGAAACCTAGAGTAATTAAACAACTGATTACTAGAGGAACAGAAGCAATGACTCCACCTTTTAGATACTAATCTTTTTCGGCCAAAAGCACTTTTTTTCTTTGGCAGAGTCCCTCCTGGTGTGCTGAATTCTGAGTTAACGCGGCTTCCCTTTGAGCTCCCCTCGCCAGGTGGACAGTCGCATTTTCTAAGACAAGCTCAAGCTTACCAAATCATCACTATAAACAAAGCTCGAGGGGAGAGACAGGCCTTTTTTACTTAGAAAGCTGCATATTGCAGAGAGGCCCAAAAACATGTGACTGCTGGCCTCAGCTCAAGGCGTGTGTCCAAGGCAACACCAGATGGGATTCTTTCTCTTTTTATTTATTAATTTGTAAGGGGACTAGGAGGACAAACTACTTGAATAATCCGAAGACGAGAGGTATCATTTTCTCAGATGTCCTGATGAGGCCTCTCACATCCCTGAAAGGTTAGCAGCTAATGCCAAAACGTGGTCAAAACGTAAAGCTGCCCTTTGAGAGGCAGAAGTGGAAGGCTGCTGGCCTCCAAAGGAGTCTGCCTAAAACCTCTGGGCTCCCAGGACCTGTGGTGACCTCAAGTCAACTCGATGCATGGACAACAGTATCTTTTATGGATTGTAGACAAGGCTTCTCAATTTATAAGTTACCTGGAAATCTCTAATGTCTCACTGCTTTACATGACAGCTAAAGTAACATGGAAAACACAGCTCTGCTGGATGGTGAGGTCTCTTGCAAGGTTCACGCCAGAGTGCAGAGGCTGATTCTGGGGTGCTTTCCCAGCTACTCCAAGTGAGGTGGGTGCCCTGATGGAGCAAGGCTGAAGCCACTAAGGTTGACAGCTGCACGGCCTGGAAGCCTCCCACGGCCTCAGGGAAATCAGTTCCACCCCAGCAGGGCTCAGAAGAAAGGACTGCCGCCTCAGCTGGGCAGTATGAACTGTATAGCCTCCAGTCTAACCTCTTTTAGAGTCTTCAAGAATAAGAACCAGAAGAGCCATTGGCATTGTTTAATCACCATTAAATAGCTTCCTCTCCCTAGAGCTACTTGAGTTAACTGTCCTGCACATCTCCTATTTTTTATAAAGACGTGGATTATTTTCTGAAATCCAGACGGGACCAGCATGAAGCTATATTATCAATTATAGCTAACCCTCATTTCTCTCTTTTTGTTTTCTTTACTTTTCCCCCAAAGCCCCAGTAGATAGTTGTATGTCATAGCTGCACATCCTTCTAGTTGCTGTATGTGGGACGCAGCCTCAGCATGGCCGGAGAAGCGGTGTGTCGGTGCACGCCTGGGATCCGAACTAGGCCACCAGCAGCGGAGCACGCGCACTTAACCGCTAAGCCACGGGGCCGGCCCCCCTCATTTCTCTTAAAGCAAAAATTCATCCCACTGTGGAGATTTCTGCAGGTATTTCTTTTAATTCTAAATCTACTCTTAACTAGGAGGGGCTTAGAGAACACTTCAGAAATATTAAAAATCACACAGTTGTGGCAAAAATCAAATTGTGGTTATTAAATCTTTTTTGTGAACTAAAAAAAATGTGGCTCAGGCTAAGCTGTTTTAAAAAAAGATCAAGTGGGGAGACCAGCAAAGGCATTAATACAGCACTAGATATAAATGATAAACATGTAAAGTATACCATGTGAAACGCACACCCTGGTCCAGCAGAAAACTGATTACTCCTCTGATTAAAGAGGTTTAGAAGGAACCTCCAATGAGCAATTTTTGTGGAGAAGAGAAAGAGGAAGGAGAAGGAGGAAGAACAGTTCTGACTGGAACTTTTTTTCTTCTTCTAAAAACAAAAGGTGACTTTTTTCTTCTAAGCAAGTCTAAGAGACTTTACATGGGCTGACTCCTAACCTCAAAACAGAAATATTTCTTTGAACTTGACTACGTAGCAACACCTTTACAAAAACGCTGCAAAACACTCCCAGAGGGCAGTGACCCACTCCGCTCCCCAAAGGCTGCGAGCAGCAAGGCCTCAAGGGTCTCAGTGGTCCACAGCACTGCGCTGCGCAACGCAGAGGGCGGAAATCCTGCGGTGAGGCCACCTTCTAGGCCTTCCGAGACCTCAGAGGGGGTGACACTCCCACACTCTTTGATGCCTCCAGATGGCCCCAGCTCAGACTCTGCAGTGAGGGAGCCCTCTCCATGCAGGGCAGATGGGGTAGCAGACACATGTAAACACAAAACACAGTCAATTCACTAACTTTCCCATCCTGTTATGTTTGCTCTGAGAAAAATCAAGACTTCTGTTCATGGCTGTGCTGTTCTGGAAGGCTACAAAAAAATCTAACACGACTGACTTCCGGTAGCCCTTCTCTCTCTCTCTTACACATACACACGCACACACACAGAAAAAGTTCTGGTCCAAAAAGATGGCAGAACCTCACTGGTATTTCCCCCACAGCTGCAATTTAAACAACAATTTAAAATTTAGTTTGCAAACTAAAAACAAATTTAAAAAAATCCATTGCTATCTTTCTCTATCCTGAGTGTGGTGGACTCTGATGGACAATCCAGTAATAACCAGAATCTAGGACATGCAGATTCACTGTGAGCAAGAGACTTTATATCTGCCCTGAACACAGGAACCTGTTTCTGTTAAGCCTGAATAAGGTGAGTACTCGCAGAATTAGTGGCAAATCAGTGTCAATGAAATATCTGCAAGCAGGGTAATTTTTATGCTTTTTTTTGTTTCTCTTCACTTTCTTTGTGGAGATATAAAGGTTACTGCAACTACGGGTCTCAGTAACCTATCACAAAAGGGCTGTGCCTACACATCACTAAAAACGGCCACGGTGTTTATGGTGCCAAGGAGGGAAAAACACCAATCCCTGCTCATCAGAATCCCAGTGCGACAGAAAATAGCACCAGTTTCAACAATTCTGGTGTTGGACAAAGCCTCCTTTTGTCAGTTAAGAAAGCAACAGCACAGTCTCTCCAGTTAACTACATTAACAGGATCCATTCATGTCAGTGAAAAATACTTCTTGGCACAGTTCACTTTCTTGACCCAAAGACACCAACAATACTGCAAACTGGACTTTGTAGGGTAGTGTATTGTTACACCAGCCCAATAAAAACATCTTCAGACCATTAAAAAATGCACAAATTACCATTAACAGTGAAGTTCCTTTTTTAGGAGTACTGATTGTTTTCCTGCAAAGCACTTTCAATCTGTGTCATAAAAGTAGAATTTACTTGGAAGAATGTGTTTTTGGGATTTCACTTAGTGCTTAGTTGAATTTATTTTATTTTCTCCTTTATTTATTTGGATAGAACCTCAGAATGTTCTAAATCAGGCAACAAACAGCAGTGTGTTCATTTTTAAGTAGGACATGTGAACAGTGAATTGGCATTTACACTCAAATCCCATGGTGCTGTTTCTAGCCATTGGGACCCTTCCTTGGGGACAGAATTCCTTTCCCAGAGGTAGGATGGTATTCTAAGGAAATTGCCAGCACTGCTTTTTGGCTCTGCGTTTTGAGACTGCAAGAGAGGATGCAAACCAAGAGAAGACAGCACAATTTAAGGTTCACCAACTGATGTCCCCCAAAATGCTGAACATTGACTCCTACAGGCCTACTAGATACATACATTTCTTGTAGAGGGAGGGAACAGCAAAAGCTTTTCAAAGTTTGAGTATTTATTAGAATTTTTAAATAAAGAGAACTACGATTTTAATTTCACATCTTGGCTACGTTTGACAAAGGAGATGCCACTAAGAGTATAGCAACAAACTCCCGTCCCAAGCCAGGGATTGATCAGTGTCCCCCTTCCCAGTCCCACCCCTCGATCTCAAGACCCTTTTCTGCTTACTTCTGAACTAAACAACACAACTGGTAAATGAAGCCAGCATGAAACCTGTTATCAAAAACCAACAAGATAGCTTGCAGTGAGCCGATGCATCATGTAGCTGTTCTAGGAAACGATTACGCCTTCTCCCATACAACTTCTCAGCATTAGATGGACCTTTCACATCCCAGTGGGAGACAAATTTAATATTTCTGAGCATGCGCCATGGTACAATTGCAAGTGCTGTAACATTACAAAGACAAGCAAACACGTGAATTTTCCTCCTGTGTACTTTTCAGGAACTTCACATGGTTACCCAGGATGGGGACAGGATTGTACAGCGGCACTTGCCAAGTGCAGTTGGATGCTTCAGAGCACAAGGACAATACCCAGTTCAGCACGGTGTAAGGCATGTATGCACAAGGAGAGAGGCCATTGTCGGCAATAAGTAGCATTATGGAAAAAATTCCAAATCCGCACGATAGAAACAGTCCTCGATGCTCCAGTTTTTTAGATAGTAATCCAAAGAATCCAGTTCAAATCCCTATTGTCGACATGTAGGGAGGAATTCAATTTCTATCATTGTTTCTCCAGATCTGAGCTGAGGCCATTTGCTCCTGGCTTGGTAATAAAAAAGAAAATACGTTTCTTTCTTGGCATGGAAACATAGCTTCAAGAAGAGAAGGCCATGAGTCCTGAGAGCACTATGAAGGTAGCTAAACTCTTCCCATAGCCTGCAAAACTACAGTCCATGACTGGGGAAAAGAGAGACGATGGGGAAACTTACCTAGTCACTAGGATCAAAAACAAAAAAGCAAATTAATTATGAGGCTCTCCATTTCAGAAACAGCCTAAATTTAAAATACAAAACGAAACCTTGAAAAATTAAACAAATTCCTCTTCTAAAAGTCATTTACAAATTATACGCCCAGTATATAATGTGTAGATAAATGTATCCTGCAGCAAAAGTGACCAACCTACTGGACTGAACAGCACATTATAGGACAAATTCTTGAAAAGTTTCATCTCATATTGGTATCTTTTAATTAAAAAAAATTAAAAATCAAAGAAAAATGTCTGGCCAGGGCTGGGATGAGACAAACAGGAACACTTCAGAATCCAAGGCAGAGGGAAGGCTGTTTGCCTCTCTTTAGAGAATTGTAGAGATGTGAAAATGGAGTGACAGATCATGCACAAAAGTTCTTATAAATTACAACCCAACCCCCACCCCCTCAATAAAAAGAGAAGAAAAAGCCCCATCACTTAACACCAAACAGCAACATTATCAATAAACCGTTTCTGTGCTGCCCATCATGCCTTATTTGAAAGAGGAGGCCTGTGAGGAGAGGTGAAAAGAGCAAGGGGGAGAGGGAAGATCTGCACTTCAGTCTAGTTTCCAATTTCCATTTCTCTTACAGGAAGTCTTCAGTCATCTGATGCCTGGCATCGAGCTCTGAGCAGAAACTGAGTATGCGGTAGCCACCACTGCGGTGCCATTGTTGGCTGAGTAGCCTTGCCTCAACGTTTCAAAATACGAGGCCTGCACGGGTTTGTGATACTGCAGCACTTGTATGGCGTCTTCTATTTTAAACCATTCCCTCTTCCTTCCTGTGGAGGCAGAGAGAAAAAGAAATTAGCACAAAGGGAAGCAACGGAAGGTTTCTGACCTTACAATGTTTGAGAAAATGTAGAAGAAAACACGAAAGCAATGGTTATCAATATTTTAAAAACATGTATTATAAATATATTTTTCCTTATTTTCTTCTTGTACAAGAGTAATGCAAGCACACTTTATATGCTTAAATACTATACGAATGCCTAATGCAGAAAACAGGTAAGAAATGTGAAAACTGAAGAGCTCAGAGTGACTGTGTGAGACCTGCCCTGGTCAAGAGAGGCCATCACTAGTGGTTTCCTCTTGTGCTCCTGGGCCTCGGGCGTTCCTCGGCTCACATGTGAGCGCCTGGAGCCTGGCCAGCACCCCATCTCCTGCCAAAATCAACATGAGCACCAGCTTCCACATTACCAGGACAGCTGACTTGTACTCAGTTGCTGTTTAAAAAATTTTTTATAAGTTATATATCTACATAATAGAAAATATTTTTTTTAAAAAGAGGGAAAAAATAATCTCAACAATCACTACTAGCTTTTCAGTCTATTTTCTTAAGTTTTTTCAAATACGTTTTAAAATCCTGTATTATTTTTTCTCTTATAAAAGTAATAAAAGATCATAGCTTAAAATTGGGAAAACAGAGGTAAGTATAAAGAATACAGTAATTACCTATAATCTTATAAACCAGAAATGACCACTCTCAATACTTTGGTGCATTTGCTTTTCTTTCATCATATTTGAAAAAGACACTGTATTTGAACAATTATAATTGTGCTTTAACATGCTCCAAATCCTGAGAGGCTCTGATAGTGTTGTGGTTAGGGACACGGATGCTGAAGCTAATATACTGGGTTCCAATCACATCACTGGCTCTAATGAGCTGTGCAGCTTACAGCAAGTTACTGAACCTCTCTGTGCCCTACTTTCCTCATTTATAAAACAGAGATAATAAATAGTACCTATCTCACAAGTCTGTTGAGAGGATTAATATGTAAAGTATTTGAACAATACTTAGCACATAGTATGGTGCTAAGAGTTTGCTTTTTTATTATTACTATTACTACTATTATTACTATTATTGTTATTGCTTCATTTTTTTACTTCACACTGTTTGTTAAGCGTTCCTCTATGTTATAAAAAATATGACATTTAGGGGCCAGCCTAGTGGCGTAGTGGTTAGGTTCACGAGCTCCACTTCGGCAGCCCCGGGGCTTGCAAGTACGAATCCCAGGCAGGGACTTATGCACTGCTTACCAGGCCATGCTGTGGCAAGCGTTGCACATATACAAAGTAGAGGAAGATGGGCGCAGATGTTAGCTCAGGGCCAATCTTCCTCAGCAAAAAAAAAAGACATTTAATGGCTGCATTACATCATAACATCTAGCACGGAGGTACTGTCATTCATTTAACCATTTCCCTATCATTGGACATCAACAGTCTGCAATTTTAGTTATAAATAATGCTACAACTAGAAAAAAATCTTTATCTCTGTTTTTGTTTTTTTTTTTAACCTCCCAGGGAAAGATCCCTAGAACAGAGATTATAAGAATAAAACATTTGAGGGCCAGCCCCTGTGGCCTAGTGGTTAAGTTCGGCACACTCTGCTACGGCAGCCCAGGTTCGGTTCCTGGGTGTGGACCTACACCACTCATCTGTCAGGCCATGCTGTGGTGAACGCTCACTTACAAAAAGAGGAAGATTGGCAACAGATGATAGCTCTGGGTGAATCTTCCTCAGCAAAAATAATAACAATAATAATAAAGAATAAAACATTCAAATTCTAAAGGGCTGGTGGCATACACCACCAAACTGCTTTCCAGAAAGGTCATACCAATCCCCAATCCTGCTTGTGTGTGTTGGAATGCCAGTCTCACTACAACCCTGCCAGCAATGTTACCTTCTCTTTATCATCGGCAATTCTTTAGGTGAAAACCAGTACCTCATTTTTGTTTTCATTTCAAATTTCTATGTTAATGTAGCTCTAATTAGTGTATATATAATTCTATACCCTGCTTTTTTCATTCACCAACACTATTTCATAAGCACTTTCCCATGGCATATAGTTTTCGTAAGTATGCGTTTAAGAGCTGTATAACATTCCATCACACGAATGTACCTTAAATCACTTAACATTCACTGAGTTGTACATTTAAGACCCAATTTTTCATCTGAAACAGGTACATCTGAAAGATGGCTCATAGGCTTATTCCCCATATTTTAGATTACTTCTTTAGGGTCAATTCTCAGAAGTGGCAGTACAAGGTGAAAGGCTTGTTTGGATATTAATAGAGCAACAGTACCTTAAAAATTAATATCACAAGTGTGTGACTCCCGCCTGACAGAGTGCTCTGAGGACAGGGCCATGCCACACTCATGTCTGTCTCCTTTTCAGGCCCCAGCACTGGCTTTCAAGGAGTCTATTTTTAATAAATCCCATTGAATATATTTACTTAAGCATAATGCAGTCTTACCAGACACAAAGCCATTACAAGTTGAAGAGCTACAAAATACTCAGATCAGCAGTGTGAGGCGCATGGTGGCAAAGCACATACTAACGATAAAGGGAAAGGTTTTGGTAAGTCAATTTTATCCGTTTGACAATTTATAACAGAAATTAAATTAATATTATGCTTTTCTAGAATATACTTTCCTTCAGAGGTAAAAGATTAAACCATGAGGGGCTGGCCTGGTGGCGTAGCGGTTAAGTTCGCCCGTTCTACTTGGGCGGCCCGGGGTTTGCTGGTTCGGATCCTGGGTGTGACCTACTTACCAATCACTAAGCCACGCTGAGGCGGCGTCCCACATAGAAGAGCTACAACTCTACAACTATGATACACAACTATGTACTGTGGCTTTGGGGAGAAAAAAGAAAAAGAGGAAGATTGGCAATAGAAGTTAGTGCAGGGCCAATCTTCCTTAAAAAAAAAAAGAATTAAACCATGAGCCAACTGTTAAATTACCTCAGTTCTTAGTTCAAAAGACATACACACAATAGTGACCTGAAAGATCAAAGAAAATGGCTCCTTTGGAGAGACCTAGGTGTACCTGAAGGGTAATATGAATACAACGGGAAACTATTCCCACTACCTGCATCTAAACAACCCTGGAGGGAGGCGCCCAGACCACCAAACCAAAAGTTTTCTCCCACAATATGAATAAGCATCACAAGGAAGAACCAAGGTCCTGTTCTGTACCTGGGGTTCCCGTGGCCATCCCTCTGGACTAGGAGACTGACTGTACATCAAGGTCTTTAGAAGAAAACATTCGCTGTCACCTCACCGGGAAAGACCTTATGAAGTCCTACTAACCACCTACACTGCTATCAAAATAAAGGAAAAATCAGCAGGCCTGGCCTTGCTCAATATCTGCTGAGGAGGATTCAACTTGATTTTAGAAACAACATTTATTTTTACAGGCCATGTTTATATTTGTTGACCACGTACCCAACTTCAGCTTCCTTTTAAATATTTCAGGGCCAGCCCTGTGGCTTAGCAGTTAAATGCTCGAGTTCTGCTACTGGAGGCCCGGGTTCGGATCCCGGGCACGCACCAACACATCGCTTGTCCGGCCATGCTGAGGCCACGTCCCACATACAGCAACTAGCAGGATGTGCAACTATAACATACAACTATCTGCTGGGGCTTTGGGGAGAAAAAGGCCAAAAAAAAAAGGAGGAGAATTGGCAATAGATGTTAGCTCAGGACCAGTCTTCCTCAGCAAAACAAAGAGGAGGATTGGCATGGATGTTAGCTCAGGGCTGATCTTCCTCACAAAAAAATAAATAAATAAATATTTCAAAATACTAACTTTCACAAGTTCAAAAATGGATACGCTTGTTTTATTAAACATATCCCTCTACTATTTCTTTTCTTTATCAGGCTTTTATTTCTGGTTCTGGGTAATGGCCTGTGGTATGGCAAGAGCTGGTTGTGGGGAGCTCCTGGAGGCACTCTGGGGACAACTCACCAATGTTAACTGAGTCTTCCCAGTCTTCCAGCACTTCCGTGACAATGAGCACATAGACATACGTTCTGTGCTTCCTCTCCTGGTTCTGAAAGGCAAAGAGAGAAAGACAGAGGAAGAGTTTTTCCTTAAAGAACTGAGATTACTTAAATGAAACACACCCTTATGCATATGTCCAGAGAGCTTAGACACAAGGATTCCTTTTCCCGTCTTGCAATCATAAATAGAATAGTGCCAAACGGCCTATTTAAAACATGTCCCACTTGAATTTGAGGGTGCACTCTTTGGCTGGGCTTCTAAAGCCAAGGCTTTTACTCTCTTTTTTCCTTCCCCTTTCCCTAAGTGCAACTTTACAGGGATACTGAGAAGGAAGTTCACGACCTTTCGAGAAAAAGGTACCAAGTCCATTTAACTAGCTAGAACACCAGTTAAGAGAAGAGACTGTGGATGGATCACGGCCCCATCAATGCAAACAAGCTGATTATCTCACACATCTCCCCCTTTCCCTAACCCTTCTCATCTTTATTCCCTGATTTCTCACTTCCTTCTACCTTCCTCCAATCTCTACCCAGCCTATTTCCTTGTTTCTCCCTCCTTTGCTATAGCTGCTTATCTTCTATTTTTCCTCTGTCTTCTCTATACTTATTTACCCTCCCCTGCTCTTGGGAGGAGAGGAAGAGAGGTAGGAATGGGATAAACATATTTAAAAATAATTCTAGTTGTTTGGGGGGTCAGCCTGGTGGTGTAGCAGTTAAGTGCGCACGTTCTGCTTCGGTGGCCCGGGGTTCACAGGTTCGGATCCTGGGCGCGCACCGACGCACCACTTGTCAAGCCATGCTGTGGTGGCATCCCATATAAAGTTGAGGGAGATGGGTACGAATGTTAGCCCAGGTCAATCTTCCTCAGCAAAAAAGAGGAGGATTGGCATCAGATGTTAGCTCAGGGCTGATCTTCCTCAAAAAAAAAAAAAAAAAATAATAATAATTCTAGTTGTTTGGAGGAGACTATGGGACTTAGAAAAAGAAGGCATGCTATTCTCTGCTGGTGCTGCTTTCTTTTGAAAACTCGATAAAACAAAGACGGCACCTCTCCTAGATCAAGACTTGGATGGACTGAATGTTTATGTACCCTGCCCCCCGCCCCGCCCCAATTCATATGTTGAAACACTAACCCACAGTAATGGTATCAGGAAGTGGGGTCTTTGGGATGTAATTAGGTTATGAGGGTAGATCCTCATGAATGAGATTAGAGTCTTTATAAAAGAGACTCCGGAGAGCAACCTTCCCTCTTCTGCCATGTTCGAGCTCAGACAGAAACAGCTCTCCATGAATTGGGAAGCACGTCCTCACCAGATACTGAATCTGCTGGCATCCTGATCTTGGACTTCCTAACCTCTAGAACTGTGAGAAATAAATTTCTATTGTTTATAAGCCACCCAGTGTACGGTATTTTGTTATAGCAACCTGAATGGACTAAGACGAATATGTAAGTGGTTATTAACTTATATTAACATGATATCGACTGCACCAAAGATTTTTAAAAGACTTACCTCAAAAATTCCAACTAATCTTCCCAATGTCCCTTTTACTCCAGCCTGAAAAGTGAAAAAGAAAAATTAACATGCTGATATTGTTTATATTGCTGGTCTCATTCTGAATCTTCTTGAGCAGTTTGTAAAACAGCAATAAAAAAACAAGAGGACACAGGCCAGGCAGACTCCAGGTCTGGGGACAACACACCAGCGTTTCCCGTTGTCGTCACAGACTGATAACAGCAGGGTATGCTCTGGGGAGAGAGAATTCCTTTCATCTCCTCCCAGTCTCTCTCCCCACTGCAAAGATGGCCAAACAGAGCAAGATAATCAAGCCATACCAAAGATATTTCGAGGCATTAATTACTTCACTCATTTATCCGTTCATTCAACAAATATACACCGAACACCTAATTTGAGCCAGATAACAGTACAGATGCCAGAGGTATAGTGATGAATAGGCTAGAACACAAGGTCCATGAGAACAAGACCCTTATCTGACTTGTTCTTGGCTGTCAATATACAATATGCCAGGCACAGAGCTCAGCACCCTGTAAGAGCTCAGTAAAGCGTAAGTCTACAAAAACAAAAACCTAGTAATTCTGCTAGTGACGAGTATTATGACAGAAATGCACAGAGCAATGCGAGGGACAGAGAGTGATGGGGAGAGCGCAACTGCATAGAGTAGTTAGACAAATTCATATAGTGGTTAGGCCCTTTGGTATTTTTTTAGATCTGTGTTTTTCTGACGCGTTATAGGTGAATTTTTCAGTCTATTCCAATTTACTAATTTTCTTTTCAACTGTCTCTGAGCTAGAGTTATCCCATCTGTGGTCTTTTTTTTTTTTTTTGCTGAGGAAGATTTGCCCTCAGTTAACATCTGTAGCCATTCTTCCTCTATTTTGTATGTGGGCCGCCACTACATGGCCTCTGATGAGTGGTGTGGTTCTGCGCCTGGGAACCGAAGCTGGGCCACTGAAGTGGAGCACACTGAACTTAACCACTGGGCCACCAGGGCTGGCCCTCTGGTCCATTTTTTATTTGATGTTTCTCATTTCTACCTGTTCTTTACATATCTAGCTGTTTCCATTATGTACACCTTTGTTTTCATGAAATTTTGTTCTGTTAAAATAGAAGTTATTGGGCCGGCCCCGTGGCTTAGCGGTTAAGTGCGCGTGCTCCGCTGCTGGCGGCCCGGGTTCGGATCCCGGGCGCGCACCAACGCACTGCTTCTCCGGCCACGATGAGGCCGCGTCCCACATACAGCAACTGGAAGGCTGTGCAACTATGACATACAACTATCTACTGGGGTTTTGGGGAGAAAAAGGGAAAAAAAGGAGGATTGGCAATAGATGTTAGCTCAGAGCCGGTCTTCCTCAGCAAAAAGAGGAGGACTGGCACGGATGTTAGCTCAGGGCTGATCTTCCTCACACACACACACACACACACACAAAAACAACAAAACAAAAACCAAAAAAAAAACAAAACCCCTCTCTTGTTGATATCTTTGTTATCTACCAAGCATGACAGTTTCTCTAAGATCTATACTAAAAGTCAAATTTCTGAATCACAGGGTAAAAGCACCTCCAATTTTCCCACATACGTATTATCAAGCTGCTCTCTGCAGTAGATCAGCTGTAGAAATGGCTGCAATTCTCCTCCTCTCTATGTATCCACATCCTTTGACACGCAATTTTACAGCTCTTCCTATGTCCTTTGACACGCAATTTTACAGCTCTTCCTATCAAGAGATAGAATCTATTTACCCCTGCTGTCCTAGCCTAGCCTTATGATTTGCTTTGGCCAACAGAATGCAGAAGGATGGTGTACCAGTTCCAAGCATAGGCCTCAAGAGGCCTTGCAGTTTCTACTTTTTCTCTTGGAACTCTGCCACTGCTATGTGAGCTAGTCTCCTAAAGGAGGAAAGACCAGTCTCAGCTGAGGATATCACAAAGCAGCCTATAGCCAGCTAACCTCCACACTGTGAGACAGCCTAGTCAAGACCAGTAGAGCTGCCTACACAACCCAAAGCAGGATGCAAACATCTGAGTAGTGCAGCTGACACCAGAAGCTGACCATGGGCTTGTGAGCAATAATCATACTTACTATTTTAAGCCACTGAGTTTTGGGATAGTTTGTTATACAGCGATAACTAACCGATATATTCTCCAAGTACACAAGCAGTGTAAAAGTTCCCATCATTCTTGTTTCTCTTTAATATATGGTGTTTGTTGTCAGCCCTTTTTATTTTGGGTCAACATAATGAATGTGAAATTATATTGCATCATTTTTAAATTGAAACTGTATACTTTTTCCTATGTTTAACGGACATTCAGATTTCCTCTTCTGGGAATGCATATGCTATATCCATTTTTATTTGCTCATTGACCATCTTAATAATCTTCAGAAATTATTTTTATCTTCTTAATATGTATCCTCTCTGGTAAATATTTTCTCCCAATTTGGCACTTGTCTTTTATCCTTGTTTTTTTTTTAAATTTTATTTATTTATTTTTTCCCCCAAAGCCCCAATAGATAGCTGTACGTCATAGCTGCACATTCTTCCAGCCGCTGTAAGCGGGACGCGGCCTCAGCATGGCCAGAGAAGCGGTGCGTCGGTGCACGCCCGGGATCCGAATCCGGGCCGCCAGCAGCGGAGCACACGCACCCAACCGCCAAGCCACGGGGCCAGCCCTATCCTTGTTTTTGATGTCTTTTGTTAAATATGTTTTATCAGACATTGCTGATTTTACTTATCTTTTCATGGGTTCAATATCTTTTTAAGAAATATATCCCTATCTCAATGGTGTACAGTTAGTCTCCTATATTTTTTCTAATAGTTTGTTTTACATTATGATCCACCAAAACAAATTTGGGAATCTATTCCCAAATAGCCAATGGCCTAGAGACTACAGAAGAGACCCATGGATGTTATTCTGTTTTACCAGTCTAGTTGTTAATTTATGTACTAATATCACATGGTTTTAACTACTATAGCTTTATCTTAATACCTGGAAAGGTAGTCCCCTTCTCTGTTCTCTTTCAAAAACTTTGAAGCCATTTTTGCACCTTTATTCTTCCACATAAATTTCAAAAATCAGTTTTTCAGATCTCTTGAAAAATCCTTTTGGGATGTTTATTTTTATTATTGAATTTTTAGATTAATTTGAGAAAAACTCACATCTTTACAATATGCAGTCTTCTCATTCAAGAATAGACTATATCGCTCCATTTACTCAGGTCTTTTTTGATTCCTTTAACAAAGTTTTATTACTCTTATTGTAAAGATCCTGCACTCTGTTAGTCCATAGCAAGGCATTTTAGTTTTAGTATAGTTTTGTTGCTATTGTGAATGGTATATGTATTTAAAAGTTACATATATTATAATTGATTACTGCTGGTTTAAAGAAACGCTTCTGGTTTCTGCATATTAATCTTACGTCTTACATCCTTTCTAAATGCTCTCCCTAGTTCTACTAGTTTCTATTGTGTTCCTTTGGTTTTTTAAGTTAATAATCATACCATTTGCAAATAACAACAATTTTGCTTCTTCCTTTTGAATCTTTATAATTTGTATTTATTTCTGTCTTAATGCAGTGGCCAGAACCCCAGTTCAATATTAAGTGGCAGCATGATAGCAAACATAACTGTCTTTTCCTGTCTGCCATGGGATGCTTTGAAAATTTCAAAGATGATGTTTGCTGTAGGTTTTATTAGACATTCTATCAGGCTAAGGAATTTCCTTTTATTTTTAATTTGCTAAGATTTTAAGATGAATGGGCACTGAATTTTAATAAATAATTTTTCTTCATTTACAGAGATAATTTTTTCTATTTTAATCTCTTAATGAAGTAAATTGCATAAACCTATTTTCTAAGAATGAACTATCCTTGTACTCTTGTGATAATCTAGTTGTGTGATATTTTGAGAAAGCATTAGATTCTATTTGCTCTTATTTTACCTAGGATTTTTGTGTCCATGTTCATAAGTGAGAATTTATTGTTCTTTTCTACTTTTAATTATCAAGATCAGCGTCAGCAAACTATGGCCCCCAGGCAAATCTGTCCTGCCATTGGTTTTTGTAAATAAAGTTTTACTGGAACATAGCCACACTCATTTAACTAAGTATTGTCTATGGGTGTATTCAAGCAGAGTTGAATATTTGTGAGACATACTATATGGCTTCTAAAGTCTAAAATATTTATTATCTGGCCCTTTATAGAAAAAGTTTGCTGATCGAGATTATACCAGCCTTACAAGAGGTGTGTAGTTACCTTTTCTGGAATAGTTCTTTAAGAAAACAATATATACTTTTGGAAATTTCAGTAAAATTCATCTAGTCGGATCTTGGCATTTTTTGTTGGAGAGAGGGGTGATTACCACTTAGTATCTATAAGGATTAATGATCTATGCATAGGTTTTCTATTTTTTTTTTCCTCCCCAAAGCCCCAGTACATGGTTGTATTCCTAGTTGTAAGTCATTCTAGTTCTTCTATGTGAGCCGTCGCCACAGCATGGCAACTGACAGACTGGTGGTGTGGTTCTGCGACCAGGAAGCAAACCCGGACTGCCGAAGTGGGGAGCGCCCAACTTGAACGACTAGGCCATCAGGGCTGGCTCTCTAATGCTTTTTTTCAAGTAAGTTCCGGTAGTTTTTTTCTAGAAAACTTTTATCAAAGTTCTCAAATTCTTTTGTTTGTAGTGTTTCACAGCATCCTCTTAATTTAAAAGTCTCTAGATGGGGGCTGGCCTGGTGGGGTAGTGGTTAAGTTCACGCACTCCGCTTCAGCAGCCTGGGGTTTGCAGGTTCTGATCCTGGGCACAGATCTATGCATCGCTTGTCAAGCCATGCTGTGGCGGCATCCCACATAAAGTGGAGGAAGATGGGCACGGATGTTAGCCCAGGGCCAGTCTCCCTCAGCAAAAAGAGGAGCAATGGCAAGAGATGTTAGCTCAGGGCTAATCTTCCTTACAAAAAAAAAAAAAAAAAGTCTCTAGACATAAAAATAACCCACTTTTGGTTTTGTTGATCATTTCCATTTTTCCTCATTAATTTCTGCCCT